ATTTGAGGCCATGATGAATAACCCGAAAGATGTTGCAAGAATTACAAAGTGGATACAAAAGGAAGGAAGGAAGGCTAGAGAAGTTTCGACTGACGCTTGAAGTCGAAGCCATGATAAGTGACAGAGAAGGCAGTAGGGGAAATATGATCTCCTGCCTTAAGTAAGGGAGTGGACGGTATCCGCACTGGACATGACAGTATTAGTGCACTTCCTAAAGGTAACACAACGTTAAAGTGTAAATAAATTGAAAAGTTGAGGGGGTTTTTACCATAAAGGTTTCCTCCTATATAAATATTAGAGTTCGTAGACACCTGTATGGGCCTTGAGGCGCCAAATCGCGCTAAATGAAATCAAATTCAAATGTCAACCTTGTAACGCGCAATTCTGGTGATTTTTGTTGCCTTAGTCTCATCGGCTAGCCGCAAGGTCCTTGGAGAGATTTGTTCGACGAACATATTTTCTCTGCGCACGAGTACTTCATCAACCACTGAAAGACACTAGCATCCAGTATCAATCATAGCTTGCACGAAAAAATGAGGAATTTATTAAGCAGTCAACTAGTAGCGGCCGCGAGAATTGTTCTTTCGAATACTTCCGCTTCATTGACAAAGTCCCATTCTTTCCCCCGAGAGAGACCTTTCCGAGGGGTTTCTGTTTTCCGAATATTTTCTCTTCCCTCTGTCCTTCTATTGCTGCAGCTGCATTCAGCCCCGAATTTGGAGCCTGAGCTCTCTAAAACCTTGACAAAATTTCGCCATATGTCCTCCCTGAGTACACCGGATATAGACCCCTTCTCTTATAAGCCGGCGTGACTCTTCCTATGATCGCCTTGGGGACCTCGGCAATTGCCTCTCCTCATCGGTTTTTCGTATTTCGTGTGCGAATCCCCTGCTAGGCTTATTCCCCGCTCTTACACGAGCTATTTCATTTTCTTCGTTCTTGATGGAACCTCTAAAACCTGTAAGGGTTGCGTTTGTACCGTCCATCCAGACGTCTCCTTCTACATTTACTTGCAGTCAACTTGGAAATATTTTTCCCCGACCACTCTTTAGCGCAGCCAACCTTATTGCTATCTGTGTCGTTTCCTCTATTCGGTAAATTTTCTGCCTTTCCAGCTCTAATGCCAATTCTTTTACTCTCTCCACCCAGTAGTTATATCTTTCTGGTGGAGGAAGCTTCACTCCTACTGAGGGCGTCCTCAGCTTTTTTTGAGGGCTGCTTTTTGTTGGAAATGGAGACACGGAGTGTTGTGGACGTATGGGCCCTCCATTTCTTCTAGGTTCCGGACACTATCTTGTGTGTATGTATGAGGTTGGAATAGGCAATATGGTAGCGCTTCAGACTACCTATTGGACATATGAGCGGCTGTATGGCGTGGGCGCAAGGAGGTTATTGGGGGTTTTCAATGCCTAGATGGCGTCACACTCGTTTATGCTGTGGCTTAGGCTCTGTGTCGCTAACACTTGTACTTGTAGCGCACATCTCTCACACTTTTAGCTTTAATCCGAATATGACACTCTTTTAGTCAACTTCTACTTTCGTTCTATGAATATTGCGCCCATTTCATTGCGCGATATTTCCACACTTTTAAGTTCATGGTCCTGCCCAGCTGAGTAGAGGTCTCGTCCCCTTCACTTTGGGCGATTTATTACTCATAGTCGAGCAGAAAGCTAGCGAGAGACTGGGATTCACCTTGTTCCATTTGATTAATATACTCGAAAGCCACTTGCCGAGCCTTTCTGTCCGCAAAGGTTTTCTTTAGGTGTAAAATCAACTCCTTCCAGCCGAACCGTCTATCAGCTTTCTTCCTATCAAACCATGCCCTAACTCTTGGCTTGTTGGCATCTGGTAGAGTCTCAATCATGCCCAGACAAATTGTTCGATCGTCCAAGTAAGGGGCCAAGTCAGCTTCGATTCCTGTTTCCAACCTGCCAATGAAGAACCCGAAATATAGCGGCGCGCCAGACCACTTTGGCAGGACCGAGTCTCATCTCCTTGGTCTTATTGCCCCCCGACCTTAGCCCAGTTTCTTGTGTTTCCATTTCCCTGACCAATTGACCCAGCTCCTGTAAATCCTGCCTTGATAGTCCCGCTAGTAGATTTTCTGCGAATCTCTTTTGTGCAGCCTGATAGCTTGCCTCGACCTGAATGTTTCCGCCCATGATTTATCCCTCGGGTGTTACGTTCAAACCGTGTGAGAATCTATGAAAAGACGAAAAAGATGTATGTGATTCCGATTCTTTTTCCTGAACCTAGATGGTCATGCAATTTTCTAGCAAGTCAGTGGTAGGGGTAGAGAAAGAAGAGAGAAGTTATATGTAAAGGTTTAATGAATTCAGATGTACTTGAAAGACAATAACTTGATAGGAATTAATAATTTCTTCCTTAGGAAGAAAATCTACCACGTAGTCTCCCATCCCTTATAAATTCTGAGTAGACAAGTATTAACTCCCACCTTGGCCACCTGAGAATCATCCTTTCTTCCCGGCTCCCTTATGCGTAGCCTTGCAATTCACTAGGCGCTGCTCTGTTGGAGCTTAACTTCGAATACAGAGTGGTCCTAGTGGCCAGTCCCAATCCGAGCAAAGACTGTCACTCCTGATTCAGGTTGTCAGGATATGTGCTTGCTACTGGCTAACGCCTTAGCATGTTTTAATTGATATTACGGCTGACCTGAGGATGATACGAGTCTCCAAAAAGTTGTATTTGGACATTAGGCGACGATACGTAGGTAGGAGAAAAGACAAAGATAAAGTGACTGCTGGGAGCTATGAGCATGAGGTAAGCTCAGCTGCAGTTTCACCTTAGTCCGGTCCACTTCCCCGTTATTCATTTTCACGTGATCCCAGATTCTTCCACCAGGCTACCTCCAAGTGCCCTAGCAAGTCACCCGTAACAAGCCTCTTGTTGTAGAATCCTGGTATTAAGGCCTCGCTGGCCTCTTTCTCGGATGAGCTTGAGTTATTCGTGAATTCGCTGTATCGTCTTCCTGCTGCCACTTTGTGAATATGCCATACACTTGGGATCGTTTGCGGCGTGTCGCCCTTGATAATTGACACACCGGAATGTAGTCGCTTTGCATGAATCATCTTTGCACTCTATTAATCCGCATATTTTCCATCTCTCAGCTCTGGGGTAGGTTCCGGTGAAATTTTGGCCCCTACATCGGTTGCACTGGGAAATTCCAAGCCCTCGTACGAACACTGCTAGCTTACCACTTTCTTCAAACAAAAAATTGCTGAGCTTCGGCACGCGGTATGCAAAGTGCAAGACCTAGTCTTTTGAAGGTCTTTCTATAGTTGCCGCAAGAGCCTGGATAGCTGCTGTTCGGACTCTCGTTTTGAGGTCACTCCCTCGATTATCATATCTACAGTGACTGTTACTGCACCCTCTAAATCATGTAGGCGATCGGACAAATTTGGGGCTAGGACTGAAAGTCATTTGGAGGCAAATTCTAACCTCATTTCGGAACCGTCTAAGCAATGGGCCTTGAGTAGGAGTAGGTTTCGCACAGCTTTAGCGGCTGCAGCGACAGCGTAGCTAGATTTTACCACTATGTATTGATATTGGTCATGTCTGCTTCTCGTAGTTTTCCCGCTGGACTCAATTCTACAGAGTGAGGGGACATACACCGCCATGGGTCCATTATTCCTATCAATATAAATAGTCACTCGTCCAGGCGGGACGTAAATTGTTGGTTATCTGCTTTATATTAAGCTAGGATTGTCCTGGAAGGAATTGGTATTTGTGGTATCGAAGATGATTGACTTGTATTATTTGATTTCCGGCGGACTACTTAAGTCTAAGCTGCCTGTTTTGGCGGCTGAGCTGGCAAGGTGATGCTTGATACTGCAATTTTTACTGTTGTAGACAACTCGCTCTCAGGCTGTTGGGTTATTTCCACCGAGGTTAACGTCTACTTATCTTTATCGTTTATAACCCGTAGGTTGCGCGAATTTTGGGCCATATTTGTCTTATGGGGGCGAATAGGTATTCATCCGAAGAGGATATTCTCTGGTAAATACCTAAGTCAAACTGAGGTGGCTTCAATCGCTGCTCTAATCTGTAGGTCTATAATTGAGTCAAGCAGTTGGAGATCTTGTACGAGCACTCGTTTGGCCTCAGCGAGGTTCGCGTTAAATATTTTTGCTTTTTCAGCAAAGAAGTATTTCAAGTCGTGAAGCGATCCATTTGACGAAGAAGGGAAGGAGATAGATAAAGGTTGGCCAGGCTAGGACATGATGGGATTGGGAAGGGTTGGGATATATTGCAGTTGTTTTTCAATTGGGTCTCGTCCATTTCGATATTAGGAGATGTCGTGTCGCCGTGTAGTAGCGGTGAGAGAAATAAAGGAGGGGATGGAAGAGGATTTAGCAAGTAGTCTAGGTTTAAAAGTTATTGATGAGCAACTTAAAGTTAGTGTGATGTGATGGAAATTGCTGTCATGAAAATTATATGTTGTTATATTGTTATCCTCTGTGAAGCTTTCATAATGCTGTACATGTTTACTACATCGAAATTATTCACTCGATTAGGGGCCGTGGGCATTTATGAAGAAAGACATCATCACCGTTATTATTGCAAGTGCTCTTCGTTAAGTTCCTTAGGTAATGATTTTAAGGGAACACATTTCTTCAAATTAGCCTTTTAAATAGAACGTATTCATGTAGAAACTATTCATACTGGTTAGAAAAAAATGTTCCGTCGGCTCAATTCTTTAGGCTAAATTGGTGCATGTAGATTTGGCCACAGCGTCCTACCTTGAAGGTAAATTCTTTAAAATATGTTGGCGAGCAACTGTATTTCTAATTCAAACAGCAATTGATAGGGCTGCTGAATAAGTCAACCTGGTGACGTCGCTGGAAAATTCAAGAATGGATATCTAAAGGCATGGCTTATCCATAGATCCATCATTCTGCGACTTAAACCATGAGCTACAGCAATCGTTGGGACGTTCGCCTGTATGCTGGACAGTGGCATTTACGTGTAGCAAAAGAAGTTTATTTGCTACGCTTGTATATTTTCGATAAAAAATTTTCAAAAACAGCTTTCCGCAAGCCTTCTGACTCATCAATATTTGCGATCATTTCTCTTATCTCACCAACACGCTTCTCTTCATAATTTTTGTAAACCTGCTCAAGCTGAAGTTCTTCATATAGTTCTTTGACTTTTTTTTCTTTTTCTTGATCTTTACGACCATAATTTTCCTCCAAGACCTTCCTTTGATCAGGCGTGCATATAGCAAGTGCTTGATTTACGAGCCATGAGCATTTGTTATCCATTATGTCTGTTCCAATTTTACCAATGTGTTCCGGCAGACCAAAGTTATCTAGGTAATCATCTTGGATCTGGAAATATTGGCCTAGTGGTATTAGGATTGCTTCAGCAAGCCTAAGATTGTTTGGTGTGGCAATATCCTGTAAGTAAAGCGCAAGGGCGACTGGTAAGTAGAAAGAGTAGTATGCTGTTTTGTAAGTGACTATGAACTGATATTTACTCATAGAAAAGTTTTCTAGCTCGACCTTGTCTTCAGGAGCGGTGAGTAGATCACAAAGTTGCCCAATTTCGGTTTGGTATGTTGTTTCATGGAACAATTCAACCAGCTCAATATATCGAGGGTGAGAGCGAAAATACTTCTTCAAAAGAGTATAAATAGCTGACTCGAGCAAGAAAGCATCGTTGATTGCAATCATACCGACTTTTGGCTGTTTATACCAGCAGGGTGCCCCTCGACGTGTTATGCTGGCATCCATGATATCGTCTGATACGAGGAAAAAGGCCTGAAGCAGCTCTGTCATCCAACCTAGTGTTGCGGCTTGAAAATATTCATCTTCGGAGAGAGGGGCACCAATAAGTGTAGAGACTGAATCTGGAACAGACATGCCACGATTACATTTTCCACCAACTACGTTAGCGTGAAGAGACTAGATGTTTGTTAGAGACTTTATAGGCAATATTTTGTTTCAATCCTCACAGTTTCATACCATTTTACAAACTCATCAGGCAAATGATGTGCTTTGGCATGGTCGAGTAAATCTTCAATAAGCTTTGGAAAAATTGCTTCGAATTTTTGGAGTTTATTAGATTTATCCATTTTGATTTCTTGAGGCTGATTTACAGTAAATAAATTTGATGAAGCTCTTGGACGTCTGGATCGAACCGAGTAGGTGAGGCTACAGATCGGTAAAAATTATTAGTCGCTAGACTAATTACGAAGTCGCGATGTCCTACTATCACACTGTTGAAGGCAAAGTGCTGACTTCAATACCATGCATTCAGCCGTTCCACAATGAAACTACTGAAACGAAATCAATTGGCGTCTAAATTTGTGGATTGAGGTGCTTCGCAACATATTGATATACTAGAAATCAAACTTGTCAACTAGGACTGACAGGTAAAGCTATAACATATCTACCATGCCGCTAAGCAGGAAAGAGATTGAGCCTACTCGAAAACAGCTTCAAGAAGCAGTTATAAAATGCTCAGAGCGATGTCTATACCAATCTGCTAAATGGTTTGCACTTGCCCACATTGCAAATATCATCTGCTGACCCTCAAGGGCTGCGGAATTGCTAACTTCCATGGAGCTTCCTGAAAGCTATCAAGATCATGAAGGCACACAAATAAATGAATCAGCCAGTGAGCGTTATAATTCAGTTCTGTTATCTGGGAGTTCAAATCCTGAAGAGGCGCTTTTAGAGGCAAAAGAGATGAACTCTTATTTGCTAGCCAAGTCGTTTTTTGACTGTCGAGAGTTTGAGAGATGCGCCTCAGTTTTTTTACCTGATACTGTATTACAGGGGATTCTCTCTACCTCATCGGAGAAACCTGCCCCAAATCTTCATACACCAAAGGGAAAAGGGAAAAACAATACGAGCCAATTACATGACTCCAGCTACCCCCATCTTAGTCAGAAAAGCTTTTTTCTTTCCCTCTATGCTAAATTTATGGCAGGTGAAAAGAAGAAGGAGGAGGACACTGAAATGGTTATGGGGCCTCACGATGGTGGACACGTTGTCAACAAGAATCTAGGTATTATAGGCCGATATCTCAAAGGATGGTTCTCTGAGCGGGCAAATGAAAATGGCTACTTTATTGGAAGCGAGGGCTGGCTAGAGTTTCTGTGGGTCATTTGAATGATAATCAGCCGTTTCTAATAAAATCTAGGTATGGAACAATCTTAGCGAGAGATAAGAATGAAGAAGAGGCCATGAAGTGGCTTATACGAAGTGTCCAAGTTTTCCCTATGAACTGGGCCTGTTGGCTAGAGATAACCTCGCTCATATGCCGAGTAGATGATGTGTGTACTACTCTCTCGTCAGAAACTATAATTGACAGCTATAGCTTTGTCGAATTTCTCCGTTGCTACCTCGGAATTTGTTCGCTTTTCTCTTTAACATTCACACCTCTCTCGAACTCTATCAAGAATCTACAAGTCTCTCGAATTCCCTCAACGAACTGGGTGAGGTCTTCCCCAAAAATCCCTTCCTACTCACTTCTCTTGGTATAATGGCCTACCACACAAAAGATTTTGTCAGTGCGGAAGCACACTTCAGTAACTTACTCACTCTCCATCCATATCGACTCGATTACCTTGATCATTACTCTAACATCTTGTACGTGATGAACTATCGACCCAAACTTTCATTCCTCGCACATCTGTGCTCCTCGGTGGATAAATTTCGGCCTGAGTCTTGTGTCGTAATAGGTAACTATTACTCGCTACTCTCATCTCATGAGAAAGCAGTTCAGTATTTCAGGCGAGCTCTTACACTCGACCGATCGTTCCTCAGTGCTTGGACCCTAATGGGCCATGAGTATGTAGAGTTGAAAAATACACACGCAGCTATTGAATCATATCGCAGAGCAGTAGATATTAATAGGAGAGACTATCGAGCATGGTATGGTTTGGGTCAAACGTATGAAGTTCTAGAGATGCATGCCTACGCCCTGTGGTATTATAAGCAGGCCTCTGGCCTACGACCCTGGGATGGCAAGATGTGGCAGGCAGTAGGTCAATGTCTGAAGCGAATGGGGCGTGATTTAGAAGGGATTAAAGCTTTAAAGCGAGCCTTAATTGCTGATAGTTACTACGATAAGGCCGTAGGAAGCTCTTTCGGGTGTAAAATTAAAGATAGATCGGTGATTCTTGATCCTGAAATCCTTTTGGAGATCGCCGGTATGTACGAACGCCTCAATAATGATTCCGAGGCCAAATCATACATGGAGATGTGTATTGCACAGGAAGATGGCATTGAGGATGACCTTGAGTCTGAAGTTCAGATTCATGCTGAAAGTCACTCTTCAGACGATGAGCCGAGGCCAACTCATCTCGCTGGTGGGACTGGAGTTACCGCTGCAACGTCCAAAGCACGAATGTGGCTAGCTAAACATGCCATGCGGGAAAGAGACTATGAGAAAGCACTACAACTGGCCACCGAGCTGTGTCAAGATGGTGTAGAAATTGAAGAGGCAAAGGCCCTGGTTAAGGAAACGAGGATGAGACGCATAGCTGACAGTTTAGGACATAGCGAGATCAGCACTTTACAATAATACTTAAATATAATTAAAATGTATCTCAAATCAACCAGCATTACTTTTATGTTAGATTTTTTAATGCCTTTACTTCCTCTTCATCTACATTTTCCGTGTCTTTACAAGTTACGGCACTTGAATGTAGCCATTTTGCCCCAAGGTCTCTTATTTTCTCCACATTACTTGAACGCACTCCACCTCCAATGATAATTTCAATTCTACCTCCAGCCACCGTTATCAACTTTCTTAATACCTCAATACCCTCTTCTGCACTGGCTGCTTTCCCCGAAGTCAGCACGGCACTGATACCAGAATCTATCAACACCTGGAGCTGCGCCTCCAAATCTGTTTCTGCTATTTCGTCAAAAGCTTTGTGGAACACACATGTTTTCCCCTGCGCTCTTTTAACAAGTCCACGACACTGTGATAAATTGACCGATCCTGAGGCCGTCAAGACTCCAAAAACAAATCCAGAGGCTCCAGCATGAGAGAATACATCAACCGTTTCAAGCATAACCTGGTATTCTTCGTCGGTGTACACAAAGTTGCCACCGCGTGGTCGGATCATGACATGGATAGGTGTTATTTGGGCAGGATCGGTCTGAAGGGCAAGAAATGTACTCAAGCTAGGTGTTGTCCCGCCGAGAGAAAATGAGGCGCACAGCTCGATGCGTCCAGCTCCACATGCCGCTGCTATGCGAGCTGAGTAGGCATTGAAGCATGCTATTTCGAGGTCGGGCATTCGAGAATAATGGGTACGTTGATCTTGAGAAATTGTTGCGGCAGCAGCGATGCCCTATGTAGTTCTAATTGGTATGGCTAATTTTGTAGACTCCCTTTTTCAAGGGCTCCAGTCGAAGATCTGAAAATAAGAAATTAGCTAGTACAGAATAATTTTGGGGAAAATTGACTTGATTAGAAGCTAAGCCAAGGTCGCGCTGACCCCCAGTGTAGTTCACCTTTAAAGTTCCGATGATTAAGCTTGTTCCAAGTCGCCGTCATTAATGAAAGCCGGATAATCTACCGCTTTTTAAAATAGTACAGAAGGCATTTTGATCCATTTCGACCCTTTTGAAATTCTGGTCTCATGATTTTACGGGATCCGATATGTTACAGGTATTTGAAATGGTTATTGAACTTTATATTTGTAGGAAAACAATCCAATTGGGGCCATCGAGAAGAAAATGTTGTCGATAAACATGAAGTTTATATCAAAGTGCTTAGTACTACTTTGGTGGTTTATAATAAGTACACTCCATCATCACATCACTAAAACTTTGATGGGTTCCCAATGGCCTTTAAAACTTGAACTGCAGAATACTGTAAGAAACGTTGGTACGAGAGTTTGTCCTTCAGAAGTTGTCGGTTTATCACTATTTCTAGTTTATATGCTAGAAAAAAGAATTCAATAGGATTACTGGCAAAAAAGGTATACATATCTCTATCTCTCTATCATGAATAACGAACGGAATTAAACTCCAATGCCGCACTGAAACCAACTAATGTTCATATATTTCACCCGTAGCTGCTTTGCCCACACCAATATTCATGCAGAAAAGTTATTACTCGAGGCAGTTTCTCAATTTCCTTATCACAAATAGAATTTACTTTATCTCTTGGGTATGAGTGATAGGAGATTACGTATCTGACCTAGATGTATGACTGGATGACTTACCTGGTCTGAACGAGGTAGAATAGCATCATAGGTATCTGCATATCCCTAGCCCTCTATACTAATAAAGGATGAGTCATCTAGCGTGGTTTGTGACACCCAGGTATGCTGGTTGAATTGTGCATGATTGTCCCCTCACAGTTATTATCGCCCGTTTACAAGCGTCGCTTCCGTACTGCTGACATGCAAAATCGCTCGTCGCCAGATGAAAGTATATGCGTATCTTTCCCCGCGCGGCCTCTCTATTCAAATATTAAAGATGTCGCCGACTCCATATTGGCCAACCGCATTCAACACATTGTGGTAATGACTGGGGCAGGTATCTCGACATCAGCGGGCATACCTGACTTTAGGTCACCTGGCACAGGTCTATACGCGAACCTAGATAGTCTGGAATTACCGGACGCAGAGGATGTCTTTGATATCAGCTACTTTCGAGAAAATCCCGTTCCTTTTTACACCCTAGCCAAGGAGCTTAATCCTGGAAAATTCCATCCTACTGTTTCGCACTGTTTCATAAACCTTCTGAACGAAAAGGCCCTGCTGAGCATGTTATTCACGCAGAATATCGACTGCTTAGAGCGAAAAGCTGGTATTCCAAATGAAAAAATAGTGGAAGCCCACGGTAGTTTTGCCACGCAAAGTTGTATCGATTGTAAAACACAGTTCCCGGATGACTTAATGCAGACTGCGATTGAAAATGGAAAGGCACCTTATTGTCTCACCCCGCAATGTAATGGATTAGTCAAGCCGGATATTGTCTTTTTTGGTGAATCTTTACCACTCTCATTCTTCCTAAATAGAGCTTCTATTAGCCAAGCTGATCTGGTAATTGTCATGGGTACTAGTCTATCAGTCCAACCTTTTGCAAGTTTACCTGCTGGTGCGGGTATGGAAATTCCACGTGTATTGATAAACAATGCAGTGGTAGGTGATTTTGGTAGCAGACCAAACGATGTTATGATTCTTGGAGACTGTGACGCAGGTGTTCTGGAGCTGGCTGAAGCGCTTGGATGGGTCGACGAACTGAAAAGTATTTGGTTTAGTGTCAGCGGAATTTTCAAAGAAAAGGAGGCAGCTAATCTCCAGAAAAAACAAGCTGCCATGACAAAGGATGAATTGTTACACGCCGAAATCCAAAAACTGACCGATGAAATTGATACTTCCCTGAAGGGATCACGAAAGCATGCCGATAGCACCTACAAGCTCTTGGAGTTGACCAGTATCTCGAATGATATTGCCTGCACAGATGTTACTCATGAGTCTAAGGGTGATGAAATAGCTACAGCTACAGCTACAGCTACAGCTACAGCTACAGCTACAGCTACAGCTACAGCTACAGCTACAGCTTCATCGGAATACTTAGACGAGGATCCTTGATCAATACAGTCTCTGGACCCACCACATACGAAAAAAGTCTCAGGATCATTCAAAATAAAACCCTACACATTATGCCTAATGCCAAAACTATAGTCAGATAATTTTTACCAATCATCTGCTTACCAGGAAGTCAGAAAGCAGGAAATAAGCTAACCCCTTGAACATATTGTATCAAAGTATTCCCAGGATTTTTTCGTCTATCGCAAGCATAGTGGCTAATTGTAATAGACGGCAGCAATTACAATAATAAACTAGATATCTTACAGGAAGTTACATTTTCTGGAATCTAGACAAAGCCCTTCAATACTCCGGGCAGCTTTTCACATTCATAAAAGGCAAGAAGGCCTTATGAGGCAATATAATACGGAGATTATCAGTGAAATATAGCCATTCAACGGCTGGTCGAAATAAAGATCAAAATCTTTCAGTTATGACGAACTCTATCTTTTATGAATAAAGTCTCCACTTTCCGAATCTTCAATCAGGGCATGATGGAAATGAGAATAATTTTAAGTTTCAGGAAAGGTCAATTTATGTCGAACCCTGGAATTCTTGACACTAGACTTTCAAATCAATGCCTATAGCGCTCACAGAAGATTGTATTTAGAGATGTTTACTCTGATAAATCACACAACTTGATGAGAGCTTTTTTACAGGAAATATGAAGCGTACGTAGATTAAGACTGAATTCAGACCTACACTTGAGATAACAGTCGGGTCTTGTCAAAACTCTAATCCACCAAATTGACGTCGATTTCTATACTCTATTGTGAGCACGTATTGTTGTATACATAGATGATACTCTAACAGAGAGTTTAGCCTTTGAATTATCACTTCTACATTGATAGATCGACATAACTCTTTGATCGCAACCCTTGATAAATATAGCTGTAGTGAGGAGTGCGCTGCGAGCTCTTGGTCTGTGACTTTTTGTCGTAAAATCGTGAACATGACTTGGAGATGTCCATTTACGACAGATACAAGGTCCATGACAGATAACTTGACAAGTGCGGCAAACTAGCACACATGACGAGTTTGGGGCAGAGCCATATATGTTTGGGTGAAGCAGCTGAGTCAAGAAGTCGCAGTCAAGGAGTATTATTTATACTTAGCATTTTGTCAAATTTATGAACCTAGGCTCTTGTGATACGTAGGCAATTGGAGATGTAATCGAGTCAATGATTCTCAGTTTACGATCAAGTAGCACTGACGTAGCCATTTGGAGCGAAGGCTAGCACAAGAGACTGGTAAATGATATAGCGATATCTTCATACTCGTTCCTGCGGGGGAGACAAGTCAGTCACCCACTTGGTTTTTTTTCTTTTCGTTCGAAAGGGTTTGGCCACTGCCAGTCTTCAACGAAGTCTGGGGTCTCTGAATTTTTTTCTCGGCACCTCCCGTGGTGATAAACGATTCGCCTCTATACTGTAGAAGTCAAAGTTTCTATCTGAAATCTACCCTATCCGCAACGTATGATCTTGTAAGGTGATGAATACGCTGCATAGCGCTCACCATATCTTTGGGAAATTTATTTATCAGGGCCTCTTGGCATTCAGCTGTAAATAAATGTAATCTCTTTTGTGGCGATCACCATGTCCCCCCTGGCATGGGGCAATGGCGTTCGCTTTCGCCCGGTAGACAACTAAAAATAAAGAAATAGCGATATCTTCATATTTCGATAGAAGCAAACAAGCAAGCAAGCAATCAATCGAATTTTATCAGGATGAGTATTCATACCTTTCTAATATCATCAATTACACGATAATATTCCTATACTTTTCATTCACGAGAATCATCACTCAGTACTCAGCGTCGTATTGATTACTACAAGCTCTACCAGAAATATGTTAGGATTCGGAGCTGTGGGAGATCGCAAGTGCTCTATTCTCTCTCTACGCCGCGTATATACACGATCACCGCGCTACTAGTTCTAATTACATAGCCACATTACGTAACCCGCTACATCTCTCTACCTTGCCTCTGTAGCGGAACTAAAAATACAACGCCGGAAATTCCATGGATTACAGGTTCTCCTGAAGAGGCGATCATGTCAGGTTAATGGCCTCACTGTACCTGCTTTTCGAAGCCGTTCAGCGTCCGTAATAATTTGTACTCTAACTTTTAAGTCTATACTCAGATCTTGGTAGAGATCACATTGTTAGACTATTGGTCTAGGTGAAGGATAATTTCCTTAAAACTGTAAACATTGTAAAGTAAATAGTGACACGTTCAAGTAACAACTATGGTTAAACTAAGTGCATGATTTGCAGTCATCTGTATACCAATAAGGTGGCCTACTTCATAGCCCCAATTATTCTAAATTCCAAAAGATATAAATATCCTCTGTACTGTTCCGAAAAAACAAAATTCAAGCCAGGAGAGCATTTCTGAAGTGTTTTGATAGTTTGGAGTGCATGAAAAGGCGGTCTAGGCTCATTAATTGCATTTCAGACTGGGTTAAAATATTTGGCACCTCGGGTAGTTTACGTGGACTGATCTGGTCAATATAAGAGCTTAGGATGATGTCGTGAACTGGCACAGCGTTAAATAAAAAAAAACTGATTAGCTTCTCCATGGGATTTCTTGTTCGTCTCTACTTATCTCAAAATTTTGTGAGAGGATATCCTAACAAGATGATGTATCAATAATTTTCGTTACAACTTCAGATCAGACTAAAGTTACACCTTTAAGCGTAGGTTCTTATTCATGCTGATTTGTTTTTTGGGTTGGTTTTCGAGGTAGGAATAAGAAAGATGAAATTGAGTGGATTATTCAGATCTGAACTAGTAGACTAGCTGAAACGATAGTTTGTTGTTAGCTCTTATTTTGAATTTGAATTCATTCTCTTGACTTAGTGTCCTATAGGCTCATGTAGGTGTCTATGAGCTGTAATATTCATATGAGGATACCTTGTGAAAAGCCACCTAACCTTTCTTCTTATTGTCTTTGGTTTTCCTATTTGTCTTTCAGGAAGTACGCTTACGCTACAGTGTCATTCATGTAAACCAATCACTTCATTTTTATCGATTCCAAGAATCACTTGCCCTACTCTTTCTCTCAGTAGCATTTCGACCGCCTTTTTCGTCCGGAATTGCTCTGTCCGACCATGATTTAAGATATAATATTTTGTTTTGATTTCATTTGACCTGATTTGGCGCCCTATGGGCCCATGCAGGTTTCTATAAACCTGACTATATATTTAAATGAGTAGGAAACCATTACAATGAAAACCCCCTCCCCCTATAAATATTTTTTTTGTTAGAATTTATAATAATTGGGGCTACAAGTAGGCAACGTTGTTGATATACACGTGACTACAAATTCTGTACTTAGTTTCACATCGGTAGTTACCCGAATCAATGCGCTCTACAACCTCAATGACTGAGGGGTCATTATTTCCTTAATAATTTTTCTCTTTAGTCCTTTGTTACCAATAGGAAGTGCAATTGGCCACGAGTCTGAGACAGGACTAGCTAAAATAAACCCCGCCATCCTTTCCTTGCCCTTGCGTGCCGAAAAGTGATGATTGTGGTCTTGAATTCGACCCCGATGGTGCAAATTGTTGTGGTGTTTGGTCTGGGATCTAGATTTATTTGCGCAGGCGTCCAGGCTCTCTCTGGAAAATCTCTGGCCTTTGGTTGGACAAAAGTGTGAACCCTTGGTCGTCTACCTGTTTTGCCGCTGTCGTTAGTGTAGTTGCCGTGAATTCTTCGCTTTTCCTTCTTAATTCCGCCGTTTTCTCCATAAGTCCATACCGTGCCCGCTGGATGCTGGCCTTGTATGATGAGAAGCTTGAACACGTCTCTTTCTTCCACGATAATTAGGCCTTGCCACAGTTGCAGCATAGCACCGAATTCTTCGGGCAGTCCCTGGTCTGATTGGTGCCCGCACACCCTCCACATCTTCTTGCCTTATTGCAAGAGGCTTGGGTACGCCCCATTGACTGCAGTTGAAGCACTGGTTGAATTGCGCTCGGGGTGACCAGAGCTAGGCCGTGTATAGTATTGAATCCATGGCAATACTATTTCGAATCACTATGCGTTGTAGAGCCTCTGTCGGCAGGCTTACGATCACCGACCCTCGAGTATGGCCGTTCTTTTCTATCCATTGGTGCTATTTGCCGTCGTAAAGCCACCTCACCCTGTTGATTTGTATTCCAGGAGTCCGAGATTTTGTCTCCGTTGTAATTTTAAAAATTGCTACGCTGTTGTTGGCGTTCTTTCCTCCGTGTATTATTGTTACAAGTGGGACTCATAAAATATCAATAGGATAACCCTGCTTTAGTACGCAGAACTCTTAAGGCTGCACCATCCTCAAGGCAGCGTCTCGTCGGGAGACCGACTGAACGAACACCTCGGTATCGTTGCTCAGTAGTTGCCTTACGGCGTATACTCCATCAATGAGTTGTTTTGCCTTGTTAAGCAGCTCTGCCTGCTACATCTTGTCTGCTCCTTCAACCCGAATCCGTACTGCCGCTTTGGTCGCTGGCGATGCGACGATGGAGGCGTACATGGGTCGTCCTCCCATTGTTTGTGCTGACTGAGGAGCCGTCTTACGCATCGGCTCCTCGAGACTCTTCTTAATTGCTTTGTCTAAGCTAGCATCCTTTCCTCCATTGGTGTTGGTAAAACACGAAGTTATACAAATTGGGTGCCGTCACGAAGTCAGCTGTCCGTCACGAAGTTGGTGAATATAGTCAATTAACTGGTATCTCGAAATACATAAAACGTTGTCTCCCTTCTTCCATCTCCATCTCCATCTCCCCTTCTTCCTCTACTCCAAGCGCCTCGCTAATGAGCTAAGTCAGATCCCTGTCAGTGTCCTAACGACATCCCGAATACCGTAATTAGATAGTGTTGTAATTACGAAGGTAGATGCATAAGTTTAGTGGTAGAGCAGTATATGTATAAAAAAGAATGTGGAATGAATATTCTGGTGGTGGGCGAATGTAGTTAGACTATCTGAGGATAAAATGGATATCCAAAGATGAACGCATAATT